TTCTGATCCATTTCTATAGTGAAGAACATCATCTCATCCTACCGTGAGTTCCTTATTTCTTACCTGTCATGAGTTAATATCCACATTACACCCTTTTTCATTATGGTAAATTACATTACATAAACTCTACTGCCTTCACTGCCTAGAGTGTACAGCTGGGAATGAAGGGCGGCAGTTTTCAACCACTGCCCCCTCCTTTCCCCTTGTCCACCTGGAACTCTGCACCTACTACGGTACCCCAATCTCCACCACCATTTCTTTTTCATCCCTGTGAATCTTCTGATACCGTGTCTCCTATATAAGTGGACTTGGGTGCTATTCGTCCTTGGATGACTGACTTTGCTTTTCAGTGTTCTCAGGTTTCACCTGTGCTTATTGTATGTTAGAATTCCCCATCAGGTGAAGACAGAAGACCACTGTGTAACCAAGAATAAGCAAGGCTGTGGTAAATTTAGTGATGGGTCCTCTCTGAGCAGAGGGAGCATGCAGACCCGTTCCTCTGAATATGTTTATCCCTCTGCCCTGTAAGTGGCTTTAAAGCAAGGGTCTTTCTTGTCTCTAGCTAGGAAAGTACTACATTGGCTCAAGAAACATATTGCTAAATAAGTGTATTCCCCTACTCTAAGTTATCTCCTTCTGTCTTCATTTAGTATTCACAATCTTGCCTTTATTTTTCTACTTTCTCTTCTCCCTAACACCCCCCTCCAAAACAAAAATCCCTAGTCTTTGGTTGACAATAGCTTTAAACTCTGAGGATTTATATTTCAGCCCAGGCCACATCATCAAAATCACTTAGAGTTAGCTAAGAAGTAGCTGGAAACATTGCAGAGTGGATTGAATGGCTACAAAGAATGTGAGTCCTTTAGAGAAGTAAGAGTAAACATGTTTATCCCTTTGTCTTTGTTAGGGTCACTATTGCTGTGAGGGGACACTGAGACAACAGCCACTCTCATAAGAAAACATTTAATCCAGGGGACTCATCCACTTCAGCTGTTCAGCCCATCATAGCGGGGAGCACCGCAGATGTGGTGCGGGAGCTTAGAGTGCTACATCTTGTGGGCAACAGGAAGTCAACTGACACCCTGGGCGGTATCCTGAATATATGAAACTTCAAAGCCCACCCTGAAGTGCCACACTTCCTCCAACAAGGCCATACCCACTCCAACAAAGTCACACCTCCTAATAGTGTCACTCCCTATGAGGTTATGGGATTATAGGATTATGGGGACCAATTACATTCAAACTACCACACCCTCTAAACACAGGTTTGCAGCCAACAGTTTGCAGGGAGCATACTTATGTTATCTGATCTTGCAACAAAAATCCAGGTGAAACAATACATAAAAGTCAGAATTATAAAGTAACACTGGAGAAACATAAACGTACAAATGTGGGCAGGTACAGTTATTGGGCTAAGGAATTAGAATCGCTACACTTGCCAGTGATGTTACCTTTTCCTGTGAATGTGTCTGAATTCAGGAGAGCTCTTCGCCAGAAGGTCTTCCACTCCTGAGCTCCTGGGAAACTAAGATACATTTTTGAAGTCTCTAATGGAGTCTGCTCTTGGCTTTCTGGTAATGAATGAACAGCTACAGCCTTCGGTTACAATTAGTTTTCACCTCTGGAGCCTTTCCCAGGGGTGATCTGGGAAGGCTCTCAGGGAGGTTGGGGAGGCGGATCTGAAGTGGGGGTGGGGGTTGGGGTGGAGGGGGGCTCAGCTGAAGGAAGGGACTGTGCTCTAGTGGAATACGGCTGTGAATACAGTATGTGCCAGAACGTAACACAGCCAACTCACCAAATGCCATGGTTTTTAAATTAGAGAGTTATTCTGAGTGGCTACACACACACACACACACACACACACACACACACACACACAAATGCACATGCACGCACGCTTGCGCTACTCACATATAGATCCATTTATATTTATGACCTTCTCCCCTCCTCCACCTCAAGCCTGAACTCGTGTGAGCAATGAGTCAGGCTTTATTAAAATCATCGGAAAGACCATTAGTTTCGTCTTTTCCCTCCGTGAGTGACCAGTACCAATCCTCCCTTCTGAGGCTGGAAACCCTGAATTCACACGGCCAATTATGCAATACTAGACGACTGGGAAGCATTTCTGGCTGGCTCAGCTGGTGATCTGATTTTACCCTGCAGCATCAAGATTGATAGGCCTTATAATTTTATCCTGGTTAGTGCAGACGTTGTTCTTACGTAACTTGGGGGGGCGGGAATTAAACCTTCCTGGTTTTGAAAACAAAACTCCTAAACCTTTTAAAGAGATTTTCCCTGATGACATGTCAAGTGAGATCTGAGCTCCGGTTAGGGTAAAAATTAAAAAAAAAAAAAAAATCTGTTTTCTTATTTCTGAATTTGCTGCAATTTAACTCCACCGAATGCTGTGTGTGCTTGTTTATGAGAAAGAGCAAGAAGAACAGAACAGTAAAGCTTCCCACTAAATAACTTAATTTTTATTTATTTATTTTTCTGGTTTGGGAGTTTGATCTCAGGCCTGCCAAGTTTGAACTTCACGCCACACTCCTAACTCTGTCCTTTCAGGAGGCCTCTCTGGGCGATGGATGGGCACGGGAAGGAGACAGAAGATCAATTCAGGAGCCCTCAGTTTCTCTCCTGCTGATGGCAGGGTGTAATTTTACAGCATCTCATTCATATGCATGTGCGGGGCATCATACATAATTAGTTTGTTTACGAGACACCTTGCAGAGCCTCAGAATGCCCAGTTCTATTATAGCTCTTCAAGGGGAAACTCCAGTGAGGAGCAGGCACAATGGAAGGCGCTTGGGCTGGTCCATTCATCCATCATCCATGGCAGGCATGAGATCGCCAACAAAATCCAACACGTTTTTATGAAGCGCTGACACAGTCAGCTACATATCCAACCACTTCTACAGTTCTAGCGACAAAATAAGCACTAGCTACTACATGGAACAACTGTGCTAGCCAGAAAGATTTTTATAAACCCAGAGAAAAGCTCCCATCTTGACTTGCTAAGAGAAACAACTCCTCTTCCCTTGATTATAAAGAAGGAGGACAGATGGCTTCTTGTTTAAGGCTGTAATTTTACTTTCAGCATCCTCCCTCAGTTAAAAACAAGATGTCCTTTTCTGGCTTTGAGGGAAAATCTCAAGGGAGGGATTTTTATTCCTGGCTGTATTGAATAATTCAACGAACATCCCAGAGAGCACAGGGAGATACAAAGAAGATAAGACCTGCTCTTGCTCTCAGGGAGTTTACAGTCTTACTGTGGAGTTTATGAACAGTTTTATTTCTTTGCTTCGAGCTAATGACCCAACGGTTACCATTAGGGAACACTTCATTCACCCATCCCGTGCCCATGGAAGAGCCTCAGGTCAAACTGCAGAAAATTCAAGGACCTAATGCAGTTCTTGCTGAGCGCTTATTCACTGGCCTATCAGCTGCTTCCCCACATTGTTTAATCTTAAGAACCCTTTGCAGCCATCCCAGTCTGCTATCGGGACTTCACAGAGGAACATGAGGTTCGGAGGAACGAGTCATCTATACTCACAGACCCAGGAAGCGGTAATGCAAGACACCAACTGGGAAATTGTCCTTTTTAGGTCCCAGTTTTTCTTTCTTTTGATCCCCCTCTCCCCTTATATTTCTTCTTTCCACGCACAGTCAGTCAACTCGGTGCTCATTTTCTTCCCCCTTGACTTTGAGTCACCTTGAAATCTGTCCTTTAAGTGGCAAGGCACACTCCTGGTGTCTCGCTTGCTCCCTTTTATCTTTGCAAACAAACCTTCGGCTGCCTTTGAGACACTTGGGACACTGTGTAACAAGACTTGAAGGTTTGGGCGAGTGTTGGATACATGCACAGTGCTGTGACTGTTGACCTTGTTTCTTTTTGCCATTTCTAAACTGCTCTCGCTTCACACTCTTTCTAAAGACGTTAAAGCGTTGGAATTTCTTAAAGGTTGTGCATGTCTATTCTAACTTGTTGCTACCTGAGCGCGTATTAATACAGGTTTTTTTTCTTTTCTTTTTTCTTTTTTGTAAAAGGATAGCAACTTTGCTTTTTATCGCCTATTTAGTTTTAGTGTCAATAAATTTCTGGAATGTAATATAGTGTCTCGGTAAATATTTTAAATATGAATTGATGTGTGTGATTGTGTGTGTGTGTGTGTGCATGCGCTACCATGTGTAACGAAGTTTGGTCACGATCTAAAATGGCTTTGACTTGAGGGCCTGAAGTACTACCTTCCCCTCCCATTTCTGGCTCTCTTACTACAATTTCCACTCGGGTGCTGTCGTTGTAGGCCTCTTTCAAGGCTTAGTTTCCACACCAGCAAAATGGGGACAGGAGCAACAGATGACTTTTTGCCCTTCTCGTCTTCCATCACCCATTCCCTCTCCACGGAAGGCTTAGCAGGCACGCTTCCTTCTGGGTAAAATAAGCATCCACCAGAGCCCTAAAAAGCTTCGGGTCAGCGACTCCGGTGGCGTGCCCAACCTCTCCCCGTGCCTCGCGGGTCCGGAAGCAAGTCGGCTGCCTTTGGGCTGCGGGCCCGCCGGGTCCTCGGGAGCTCCGGCCTCAGACGCCCTCTCGCCCCGAGGCAGAACGGCGGCCTCGGTGCCACCGCGAAATGGGCCCGGCGCCGCGCAGGCTCCGGCGCGCGCCCAAGGGCCCGGCCTCGTTCTGGCTGCCGTGGCCCCGCCGTCCGCGCGGCTCGGCGTTGCACTGGGGGCGGGGAGTCTGATGGGAGACGCGCGCGGCGCCGCCGAGGAGGAGGCGGCGGCTGCAGCCCGGGAGAGGGAGCGGGAGAGGGACTGGGCGCGGGTGGTAGGAGGCGGGGGCCAGGGGGAGGTGCCGCCGCCGCCGCCCGCCCCTTTCCGCTGGGGAGCAGCTGCAGCAGCAGGAGCGGAGCCGGAGCCGCGCAGCCGCCGCCACCACCGCCGGGGGATGTGGCCGGCGCCTGCCCCGAACCGCGCCGCCTCCTGACTTCTCGCCCGCCGTCGCCGTTGCTGCCGTCGCCGCCGAGTCGTGCGGGGCCAGGCCGCGCCCTCCCCGGGCGCCCGGCGGCTCGCATGCCGAGGGGCTCCGGGGCGTAGCTGCGCGCCCGGCGCCGCCTCCGGGCTCCTCCGGCCCCGCCATGGGCTGCTGCAGCTCCGCCTCCGCCGCGCAGGTGAGGGGCTCGCGCCTCCCGGCCGCCCGCCCGGATGCCACCCCGCGCCGTGCGCGCCTGCCGTGCGGTGCCTTGGGCGCCCCTGCGGTGCCCTGCGCCCCTCCGGTCCCCGTCTCCCTCCCCCGCTGCCCGCCGCGCTCCCACCCCCGCTTTCGCACCTGAGCCGCCCGTCCCGCCCGCCTTGCAGGTAGAGGCGCCCCTGGGCGCCCGCTCTGCCCCCAGGAGACGTCCCCTTCCCTCGTCTTGGGGCCCGCCTGCCTGCTCCCCACCTCCGCCGAGACCCCCCAGTCATCCACAGACTGTTTTCCGTGTCCCCAGAAGGTGTACCCCAGCTTGGGCTCTTCACCTCTCTTCCACCTTATTCCAGTTTCGGCTCCATTTAATAAGCTGCCCATTTCCCCTGGCCTGCTGTCCCCTCGGCCAGGATCAGGTGCTTCAGTGGGTCCCCGTGCCCTTCCAGGGCCCATTCACAGATCCCACCCCCTCACTCCCCACCCCATCCCCCCTCTGTGCCTTGACCCCGGGCACCGCGGCCTCTCGGCTCACCGAGGGCCCTGCGGGAGCGCGGGGACTGGGCTGGGAAGGAGATTGGGCACCTGGTGGGTGACGGGAGCGTTACGGAAACTCCCTCTTTGTTGCCAGTGTAACAGGAGGAAGAGGTGCCGAATTTAGTTTTTCTGTGGGCACTGGCTGGATGTTGTCGCTGAGGGCTGAGATGCAGAGATTTCTCCCAGCTGCCACCCTGCCCCCATCCAAATTTCGCTAGCCGCCTTCTCCCTTTCCGATCAGAGCCTCTAACCTGGGTGGAAATGTTTGGACAACTGTGTAAGGATCAGATGTAATAGAACTTGACTGCTGGCCACTAATAACTGAGAGGACCTGTTTGTAAATTACCTAATTTAGTGGATTAGTGAGTGTATTTACAAATACGATAAAAAGCAATCAGGAATACTGCATCAAACTGTCTGGTGGTGGTGTATGAAAAATAGGCTCTGACAACGCCTGGGATGTTTCTCCACAGTTTCATTAGCGTAGAATTTAACAGTAGTCTGATTTGTTTGTTTTTTCCTTTGGGTGTGTGTGGGGGGTGCGTTTGCTTGTAGAAATAAAGGCTGGCTAGTTTTTGGCGTAGAAAAACGCTAGTTTTGGGGGAAAATTCCTCTAGGGATGTAGCGTCTGTGACACAGAAGTGTTTGCTGCTAAGTGACTATATATAACTCAGTTTTAAATAACCTGCATACTTGTTCTGAAAAATCTGAGATCTGTCACAGAAACGACTAGAACTGAGAGAAGGATGCAGAGGGCTTATTAGGCATTCTTCCTGTTTGTCCAGTTCTTAGGCTGAGTCGTTTAGTTAAGTAGTTAAACCTTCCTATTCAGTTAGGTTAGCAAAGAAAAGCCATGTGTCTGGTGTTAAGGAAGGCTGGATCAGGGCTTTCGGATTAGCACATAGAGGTGTGGAGAAACATACCTTTCAACCGGTTAGGAATTTAGGGGCAGGGGGCACATCTATTAATAAGTATGCATTGTTCATCTAATATTTAAATATAGTTTTCAACAAAAGATGTCTTTCACATTGCCTTTCTTTCCGGAATTGGCTTGCTGTGCACGCTCATTTGGTGGGGAAATGCCTTTAAGACAGGAAAGTATTGGTAGTTTATGGGTGGCTTGTTCAGTGCATGAAAGATAATTTGGGAGGGCCGGGTTCTGCGCCAGAACTCCACTTTAAACGGGTAATGGTCATGTGGTTGTCTTGCTCTACGTTGTAGTGGTGCAGAATGCAGACACATACCTTCTCTTCCTTTTTCCTCCTCCCAAAGGCACTGTTTGCTGCGTGCCACGTTCTACAGACAAGATTCCTGTCTGAGGGGATTCATTTTTTTTACCACCTTGGGGATTTCTGTAGCCAATCAGCAGTTGTTAACATGGCTTTGAGTTCAGCTTTGAGACTTCAAGTGTTCAGTGGAGCATGAAGGCAGGTTTTAGGTACAGGGACGGGTCATCATTTTCTTTCTTCTTATTTTAGGATTTTTGGGCATCATTCTTCATTTATGAAGTGTTCTCAATATGGCTTTTAACACTCAGCTCAGAAACAGCAGGAATTTGGATTGCTCTCGTATGTAGTGTGTAGAGATAAAACAGGGGTACAACTTTAAATGTTCTCTGGGTACAGAACTGCAAATTACTGAGCTGATTTTAGGGGTCATGAATGTATTTTCAGACAGAATATGTTTTGATTCTGCTTTCTATTGGGTTGGGAACTTCTTGAGTGTAGAAACTGCTTTTGTTTTCCTCGCTTCCCAGTTACTACAGTGCCTCGCTGTGTCTTACAGAGTGGCTCAGCGGTGGCCATTGAATGGAGTGCATACTTACATTTGAACATTTGGCTGGCAAGTCACGGATTATGAACTCCCAACTCTGACCTGTGTCATTTCCATGGTTTGGTGATCTAATCCCACCAGACTGCCCTCTGCTGAACTCAAACCCCAACTTTGTTAAAGTTTACCTCCCTCTCTCACATTTATTACTGTTGTATCAATGGTACCACTTGTAAGATGGAGCAAGTTTTTCCCTTCTCTCTTGACACCTGGCCCAGTGTGTCTTTCTTTTAGTTAGTGCAGCGACTATAACGTCTGAAGGCTTGCCTGCAAGCTCTGATGATACCCTGCATAGCCTATCAAAATGTCCTACTCAGAGGTATCACCAGTAACTTTGAAGCTAGACTTTATTAGTGTATGTAAAGTACATTTTATTTTCTTGATGGGGTTGGGTGTTGAAGTATAATTTATTCCCCCTCCCTGTTTCTTACTATGCTGTAGATGCTTATAAAAGAGTTTATGGTCTCCTGAACTTTGATCTCTGTAGTTCTGATGCTATTGTATCCTTTTGCCATATCTGGGTATCATAGTTTCCCATCAAAACTATCTGCGCCAGAACTTATCCTGCTTTAAGAATGAAATTTAAAATGTCATATTCTTTGATGGTATTTCACTGCTAAGGGAATAAATTATTTATAAAATAATCTGTACAGTAGTAGGTACATATATGTACATTATACATATATAATGCATATATTAGTATGTAATAGGTACATATTAACACAGCTCTTGCAGAACTATTTGGGTGATTTTTCTCTGCCTTAATTAGTAACCATTCTGCATTGTTGGAAGTTGCTCTAAACAAGCCAGTGCATGATACCCTTTGCCTGTAAGTCTTTTTTTTTTTAATTTTTTTATTTTTCGAGGCAGGGTTTCTCTGTGGCTTTGGAGCCTGTCCTGGAACTAGCTCTTGTAGACCAGGCTGGTCTCGAACTCACAGAGATCCGCCTGCCTCTGCCTCCCGAGTGCTGGGATCAAAGGCGTGCGCCACCACTGCCCGGCTCTGTAAGTCTTTTTGAAGGAAGCATCAAAGTAAGATAATCTGGAGTTTCTTTTTACAACATGAATTCTCCCTAAGACTCTTACAGTTTATTCCCATCTCTCCAGAATTCATTTCTTCTGCTATAACCTGACTTAATTTCTATTCTTGTAATGTTAAACTTCAAAGTTCACTTGTAAATCTTCAAATTTATTAAATGTCCTTTCCCATTGACAAGCCAGTGTAAATGAAGGGAGTTTGTGAAAGATTGCTTAGCAACTTTCTGTAAGCCTTTGTCGCTAAGGGACCGATCATTATTTCCGACAGCAGTGCTCTGGAGGCGAGGGATTTCTCAAGCCTCTAACTTCAGACCTGGAAAGAAAGGAGGCGTTTTCTCTGCTTTATGGGCCCCACTTTAGAAGACCCTTGGGCACCGTCTTGTCCCAAGCCCTTTAAATTGAGGGTGACACATTAAACTGCCATTTCCTAGCATGCTGCCGTATTTGGAGAGTGACAGAAAACAGGAGTCATTTTCCTGTTGCCATCTGAATAACTTGTAGCAATTTTCTAATGCTGTATTCACGTTGGCTCTGTCGAATTCGAAGTAGTCAGGTGATAAAAATGAAATTGAAGGATTAGTGGAATCTGACAGAGACAGAGTCGCTCAATTAAAAACGCACTCTGGGAAGTGAACTTCATTGAGGAGCGAAATGGTCATGCTAAAAAACATGTAAGTCAGGCTGCGCTCGTGGCCAGGCCTGAGATTCAAGCACTCAGAAGACTGGAGGATTCCTCGGAGTTTAGTGACCATGAGAGGAGTTCCCAGGCCAGTCTGAGGGCTGTGTAGTAAGCCTTTGCCTCCAGCAAACACACACCCAGTATGGTAAGACATTAGTGAATGTTAGAATTGGCTGGGAAATAGTATTGAAATGGTATGCTGTGTTATCTGTTTTCAGAGTCGTTGTCTTGCGTTTATATCCATGGTAATTCAGATCGATTTTGCTTCCATGTTAAAACTGAAGAAACTGAGACTTGGAGGTTAGGACAATGTCCGGAGTTACACAGAGTCCCGCTCGGTGGTTAAGACTTCCTGCCGGCACTGTCTGCTTCTTGACTTGTGTGCTTTCCCTGTGCTCCTGAATCCAAAGTCGCTGTGTACTTTTTAATCTGTAAAAAAAGGTCAGTTTTGTATGAAAGAATTTCCAAGGTAGATTTCTTACTGCTTTGAAACCCCCACAGTTAAGGAGCTGGGGAGGACCATCGTGTGATCAAGCAGGGCTTATCCAGTGGGAATGCTCCCAGACTTAGCAGGGTCCAGCCATGCTTTTTGATGTGCAAGCTTTGCCATTTAAAAAATGCTACTGACACGGGAAGAATATTAGCTATACAAATTTATTTTGCTCTGGTAATTGGTTCACACTCCCCGTTCCGTGCTCCCTCCCCATTAGAATACTAAGGAGATCTTTCAGTTTTGTAGGTTTGGACTGCAGTTCGTAGACTCTTAAGAGATGCTAGACATGAAGGAGCATCACCGTCTTCCTGTTCTGTTGATCTGAACTCCAGCTCAGAATCATGAGGTTGTCAGGTCAGGGACCTAGGTTATGTGGTGGCTGGGGCCCTTGCTGTTGATTCTTAGTATCTTAATTAATCTCAACCTTGACTGCGCATTAGGATCACTGGAGAAGCTTAAAATTGTCGATGCCTGGGGCTCACTCTCGGAGAGTCTAGTTTAACTGGTTCAGTGGTACTGAAAAGACCCCACTGGTGATTGAGACAATCACCTTTGTCCAGGCAGTTTCATCTCCAGTGAGTTCAATTACAGCCTGTGAGGACAGTTCCCAGACTGGATCATTAAATTGAAACAAGTCCCCACTGACCCATCGCGAGCGAATGATTGACACTAGAACGTTGTGTAGACACTCAGCGCACACGTCTAAAACCCAAGTTGGCCTCCAGCTTTATCCTCTTCCCCTGTCTCAGTGTATCTGGTTCACTGAGTGCTACCAGTAATCGTGGGACTAGGAAGTCTGAGTCATGAAGGGAGGCTCTTCTGTTCTTCCAAGCCTGCCGCCACCACATCTTGCCTTCTTGGATGACTGCCAGCCTTCTAGCTAAGCATCATCTCCACCCAGTACCTTGTGTCCTTTCTGGCTTCAGTCTCTTCTTTCTCCATATTGCAGCCTTAATAGTCTTTGAAAAGTCTAAACTGATTGGCTGTGTTCCCCTCCTACTTAAAGTTATGTAGCGGTTCTGATGACTGGGGCCAAAGACGAGATTCTCCTAGCATCACCGAGATGGACTGGTCCCCTCTGCACCTCTGTTCCAGCCTCTCCTCCCTTGGTGTTTCAGCATCCCGAGTTCTTCGGGCAGTCTTCTAGGGCTTTCCCACACGTGTTCACTTGTTAGAAGGCTCCCTGCTTTTCCGTCTTTATGGCCTTGGACTGGTTACTTTCAATTGCATCCTGAAATTCACTTCATGGAAGATTTTTCTTATCCTCTAAAGTAGGCCGGGTCTCCTCTTTAAACTCCCCATTGCCTTGCATTTTTCTCTTGGAACACATAATAGCATAAGCATATAAGTCTAGTTACAATTGATGTCTAGACTGTGAGTCTGCCTACCATAACCTACGGATAGAGTCTGGCCTGCTAACCTGTGTTTATATGGCTTGCAAGCTGAGAATGGTGTTTACATAGTTGATGAGAAGATTGAGACAAATATGGCTGAGGCAAACAAACAGGAAAGAATATTGTTTCATGAGAAGTGTATGAAATTTGGGTGTCTTTGCTCTAAAGTTAGGTTTCGTTAAGCCACAGCCACCTTTCCTGTCTGTTGTACGTACTATCCAGGAGAGTAGTTCTCCGAGACCTTACTGCTCACAAGCACCGGGATTAAGTCTGGGTCCTTTGCGTGCAGTGTTTGCTGACCCTTGTTCTGTCCTGGGCTGATGAGGGGATGATCTTGATTGCTCTGTGTGTTCCTGCTGGGCTCTGCTTAGCTGACACTGATTCATGTAGGCTCTTGGGAAGTATTTTTCTTCCTCCTAATGGTGTGGATGAGCTACTTTCCCAACTCTCCTGTTTCCAAGTTCAATGTGGACTTTTTCCCTTAAGGATAAAGTCTTTAGAGGAAGTCTCAACAGATTTCAGCTGGATGCTTAGGCAGCCTCAGGTGAACTGTGGCTCATGTTTTTCAACATAGTGTCTTCTCCTTTGTTATTTTTTTGTTTTACTTATTTGAAGTAGGACATGCCTTTTCTTTTTTAAAGGAAAGTGGTGTTTTCCGGTATATTTTATTATACTTAATCAGGGAACGTCAACTTTTTCGTCCTTGCTGTATGGGCTTATTATTAATTTCATAGTATTTTCAGCATAGGTATTAGTTCAGATTAAGACTTTACAAACATTTGATTAACTGCTGAAATTATTTACGTTCCAAACCATATTATTACTCCTGTTAGGTGCTCACCACAACCAGACAGTCATTTATTTAGAAGTGACGTTCTTAAAGAAGACATTTATTCTCATTTCTGTATGTGTTAATGTGTGTGAGTACACACGTATGTGTGGACAGTCTGGTGTTCTTCCTTACGCTGCCTTTTTGTTGGGCATGGTCTCTTCCTGGCCTGGAATTCACTAATGGGAAAGGCTGTTTGGGGAGCCAGCCTATGGCATCAGCTTCTATCTTGCTGGGTATAGAGCCACCCTTGGCTTTTCCACTGGGTTTGAGGGGTTGAACTTGGCTCTTCCTGCTGGCAAGGCAAGCACCTTAGTGACTGAGCTATCTCCCTATCCCATAGTCTTTTGTTTAAGGTTGCCAGATACCAAAAAAATGTTAAGCACAAAAGTTATCTCTGGGTACATTTGTATAATGTCAAGGAAAGAAAATAGCAAGAAGACGGGAAAATTGAAAAGAGGTGGCTGCTTCAAGCTGTTTAAGTACCAGTGATGGAACTACATGCTTTACTTGGTAGTGTTGTGTGGTAAGGTGAGCAAGGTTCCTCATTACAAGTCACTTAGGGTGTTGCAGCCAGAAGAAGAAAACAGAAAACGGCAAATCACCCTTGAATCCAAATACTGAAAACATTAAACAAAATTTATTTTTTCCTGTTCAGTCCTGGGGTGGGGGCAGGGTCCCAGGGAGTTTGCTCAGTGACTCCATGATGACTCAAGTGGCAGGGTACTCCTTCTTTCCTTGTTTCTGTTCCCTGTCTTCTGTCCCTCCCCTCCCTTCCCTCCCTCTCTCTTTCCCTTCCTCCCCTCTCTCCCTCCCACCTGTAGTTCCTGCTGGCTGGCTTCAGACTCAGGCAGCTGTCTCAGCCTGGAGGTTCTGGCTGTGAGCGACCACACCCAGCCCTTTCTTCAGCAGTCTTCAGGGAGGAGCCTTTCCTCGCTTAGCCCCACTTCTGACCTGTGTCTTCCCGATGGACTTTTCTAACAACCTCTGCTGGTTTTCCTTGGATGGGAATCACAGAAGGCGGCTATAATCCTCATCCCTGATAGTGTCTAGCAGGGTGAAGCAAAGACTAGTAGTTTGGTCCAGTCTGCAGCCTGCACGCCCCAAGATAACTGTGAATGGGGCCCAGCACAAAATGGTAATTGCAGAACAGAATGCATTCCGAGAGTTTTTCACTTATTTTATTTTTTGTGACAATTGGGCCGTGCTGCAGTGTGAACTTTGTAGATGGTGATCACTTGTTGCGGCGTCAGAAGGTCGGACACACCTGGTGCACTAACCAGACTCTCTCTCTAAGTCAGGTAGGGTAGGACAGCCAGCTACAAGTGGTAGGGCCCTGTGGCGCTGGGACTGCTGCCTCAGGGTAGCCCCGGGAGTCCGGCAGGGCAGCTAGGAGCGCTGCCATTTTCTTCTGTTTGTGAAATCACACTTCCTTCGTTTTCCTAACTTTTTCATGTATCTCCAGTACAAACCTTTTACAGTCCCTAGTTTTGAGTCTCACTAAAGTGACCCCCCCCCCCCCCCCCCCCCCCCCCCCCCCCGCCCCACTAGCCAGGGCTGTAGCCACTGCTCAAGCCGCAGCCCCTTTCTTTCTCCTCCACGCCCACAGCCCCTTTCTCTGACTGACAAAAGGACAGCTTCAGAGAAAGAACTTCCGAGGCTGGAGTATGGTTAAGTAGTTAATTAACATTCCTCCAAAAGTGGTCCCAGGGGAGTCTGGGAGTTCAGAGAGCCTCTTCCATTTTAGCCTCCCACTCTTTTCCTTTCTACCTCTTCTGGACTCTTCCATCTGTGGTGCCTGGTGCTCTTTACCTCTGTCTGCTTGGCATTCAGTTTTCCTCTTCAGCTTCCCCTTTCTGTTTCTCCCCAGCACTACCTGGTGTCCTCTACAGCTGTGGTGTGCAGTAGGACAGAGGTGGAGCCAGGAGGCAGGCAGCAGCTCTGTTTTAGTTTTCTCCTTCACCTGTTTAACTTTGTTTTTTTTTTTTTTTTTTTTTTAGCAGTGAGAATGAAGATTCACATTGTTTAGAATATCCCCCAATAGAAGGTGGTCTCTCTTTGCATGCCAGACACAGCTCTGTAATAGAGTTTTGGAAGTGGAAGTTAACAGCTAATATGTAAAAATGTTCAATTTTGTTAGTACTAAGGCTAAAGGAGGGGCACCTCTCTATGTCGGTGACCTTGATAAAAGTTAACAGAATAATATTAATTGCCTCTGTGGTTTTGACTCAAATAGACGTTATCGATTTGCTGAATAAATTGGAGTAACCCTCTTGGGGTACTGCTTGACAGCCTACAGTAAAAGCCATGTTAAAAACTGTTGACCTCCTCTAGTGAAGTACAGTCATCTGACGTGCAGGGATGCTTCCGTGATGACTTTATTTGCTTATTTTGTTTACTTATTGTGGGTGGGTGGGTGGATGACTACGGAGTCAGACTGCTGTTCAAACTATACAAATAATAAAAATGTTCCAGAAGTTTCCATATTAATGTAAACCGAAAAGTTCTGTCACCCGTGCTCCCACTAGAAAGGCAGCCTTGGATTTGCGTTTTGGAAGACTGATCCTGAATCCAAAACTGTCCCAGCGTTAGGGGGACAAGTGCTGGAATGACAGGGATGGCAGTCACAGCAGAGGCCAAGCTGGGCCTAGGAGCTTAGGGAATGAGGAGGTGGGGAAGGGGGGTGGGAGGTGGGGGAGTAGTGGTTGGCTTCCTGGACCTCTGTCGCTCTTCACCTCCCTGCATTTGGAAGGAGTGAGACCTTAGACAAGGGCTAAGGAAGAACCAGCAGTGGAAAGGATAGCTTGGTCCAGCAAGGAGAGGCGTGAACTGCTGCATTTCAGTATGGGAAGGAGTTCCGACCAGGGAGGCTAGAAGAGATGCCAAGGGAGGCTGTTCACGTTTGAATGGACGGGAAATGAGCAGCCACGGGGCATTTAAAGGCCAGCGTTAGCTGTATTTGTGTGGATGGGACAATAATGCAAGGCAGGGCAGAGGCCCCAGAGGAAGCAGAAGAGACCTTGTGGAGTTGAAGTAAGAAAGGCTCTCCTGCCTGGATGTGGGCATCAGGGGTAGAGCAGGGGACAGGACAGATGTTTTGGGTGGTGATCAGAACTCCTATGCAGTGGGAAAAGGCATGTGGGAACTGATTGGGCGAGTGAGCGGGGAGAGGAAGGAGAACCGACTCAGTAGAGGTGATTCTTGGCGCCTCCAGCTAGTGCAGCAGTCTCTCAACTGAAGATCACAGTTGGGTTTGGGGACATGCTTACCCCATGAGCAGGAGGAACTTCAAGTATGGGTGGTCGCCAAGGGGCAAGGGAACGCACTGTGATAGTGACTTGGGGAGGAAGGGCTTATTTTGGGCGATGTTTTGGGAGATACAGAGAATTGTATAAGAAGGCATGAAGCCTGGGGCAGCTAGCTCCCTTTTGCCAGAAACGTGAGGCAACAGCTTGTTCACATCTTGACAGATCCAGAAGCAGAGATCTCAGTCTGGAAACAAGGTCATGTCTAACCTTCAAAGGCCCACCCTAGTGGCTCACCCTCAAAGACCAGACTCTGCCAGACAGGCTCCACAGCCTTTCAGAATAGCATGGGCCAGGGCTTCAGGTCGGTTAGCCTGTGGGAACCATTTCAGAACTAAACCCTAATAGGCACTAAATCGGAGCAGCCAGCTATGCAGATTGCCAGTGCCCACTGGCTGCTGATTGGTTAGACATTTTCTGTGGTAGTCTCAGATCTAAGGTGGCCGCCTGAGTTATCCCCAGCTTAGAGATGAAACAGGCCCAAACATATTGCACAGCTTCCTCACTGCCACCCAGCAGTTTAAAACCAAATTAGTTCTGAGGATGTTCCTGTTGCTTCATCTTCTCCCTTGGTTTCTATTAAGAACTGCTACATTTGGGTGGTGAGATGGCTGTAGCTTAGATAGGTCCTTTTTCTTGTGTGAGCTCAGAGATGACGTGTGCTGTTTATTCTTTTTAACTGGGGGAGAGGGCACTGAGAGCAGGTAAAGGGACTGATTGTGTGAAAAATATCCTGCAACCCACATGTGCGAGGAGAGAACAGCCTGCTGTAGATCGGCTTCTGGCCTTCAGTCGTGCTGTGCCACGGGGCTCCCCAATAAATAGAATTAATTTTTAAAAAGTACATATTGGTTAGTGTATAAAAACTTGGAGCAAGGTTGATGTAAGTGGTTTTTAGAAAACTTCAGTGGTGGCATGTCCTCCTGGACCTTTCTGTATTTTACTCTGAGAACTTAGGTCTGAGAAGTTTATCTTGGAAGTAGAATTGTTAATGTGATCTTGTCTTTCCTAACAGATGACTAGAGGGACACACAGAGAGAGACACAGAAGCACACAGAGTATGTGTATTTTCTGCCTTATTGCTTTGCTGGTGTTTTGAGACAGTTGCAGACAGTTCAATCAGGTTTTATTAAGAAGGTTTGGAAACAATAGTTGAAGAGGACACTTCATTTTAAAAGTGAGTGTGATTCTAGTTTTGGTGTACTTTAAACCCTTTAAACACAGTTTAACCTGAGAAAGTAAGCCATGACCAGGTGGAAACATTTGTTTCTCTTTAGTTGCTAACAAAGCCACAGAGGGCGAGACTCCTGGTGCTGCCACTTAATGGTTAGCTCTTGCCAGGTCGGGTTGTCCCATGCTCTGCCGGTCTCACTTAACAATATACAAATTACAAATACCTTGATGGCTCCCTGAAGCACGTGCTCCCCAAGGTGTCTGCAGTCGGAAAAGCTGAGAACTCCGTACCCCCTTTGCCTTCTCTTTGCCCCACCTTGAGAAGCCATAGTACATGGTAACATACTCAGATGTCATTTCCCCACCCTCACTCCCACATCCAGAAGAGAATTTGCTTCCCTGGCCTTTGCTGGACTACTCTATCCTATAAATATCTTTCTGTTTACATCATCCACCCTGTATCTCTCCTGTCTGCCGCATGGATATGTTAGGTGACTGGTCATCAAATGGAACATTGTTAAGACTTAGTCATTGTTGGGAGTGGTGTAAATGGAAGTGTACCTGGTGTCCACGCTTCACCTGTGACAGTTTCTAGTTCTGACTGGACTGCTGCTAATTCAAAGAAAGTTAGCCCATGGGTTCCTCCACCCCTTGCACGCACCTCAGACAGGGCTCCTCTTTGTAGCCTTGGATGTCCTGGAACTTGCTCTGTAGACCAGGCTGTTCTGTAACTCACAGAGATCCTCCTGCCTCTGCCTCTTGAGTGCTAGGATTAAAGGAATGAATTTACCACTACCGCCTGGCTTCACTTGGAGTTTTTCTACAGAAATCAAACAATGCCTGGGGCTAACCAAGTTAGCACTGAGGTAGCCATGAATTTTATATCATGTCTACTAATGAGTTTGGTTCAGGCTTTGCATAAGTTCTTTAGGCTACGGAGAACTCACAGCTTTATATCTCAGCAGCAGCTCTTTTTCCACTTATTAGAGACTTTTGTTTCATGGGCTGAGCTTATGTCCTTGTAACTTTATCATTGGCCCTGGTTTTGTACCTGTTAGTCACATAAAATGAAAAGCTGAAATCATCAATGTTTGCCAAGTTTTATGTGTCTGCCTCTCTGTCTGTATTTTAATTGTAAAAACCTGTTATATTAAAAAAAAAAAGTCATGCTTCTAGAGCCTTTGTTCTGGACTCATTTTTCTTCGTGCTCTGTTTAAAAGATTATTATATATCAATATATATTATTTTATATGTATGTTATATATTTGTAAGAGCTACTTATGCACATATTTAGAGCACTACCATTTCTAGTACTTGTCATTTATTTTTTTTAATTTATTATTTTTAATTATGTGTGTATGTGTGTTTCTGTGGGTAGGTATGTGCGGGTGCCCAGGGAGGCTAGATAGATAAAAGTGTCCTGAAGCTGGAGTTACAGGCAGTTGTGAGCCACCTGATGGGGGTACTGGGAATAGAACTCAGGTCCCCTGAAAGATTAGTATGTGTTCCTGGCTGTTGAGCCATCTCTCTGAGTACTTACCATTTAAAACAACAAAAAAAGTGCCTACTACCACCCTGCCAGCCCCTGTCTTCTGTCCTGAGGCCATCATTCTAAATCACTGGGTCAGTTCTTTCTCTTTTCTCTATCTCTAGCACACTCGTGTGCCTGGCACCTCTTTCTTCAGTTTTCAGCATCAGTCTCTGCTCTGGAGGATGAAAATAGAGCTTTTCCAGCCCTATGCATTGTTTCTACCCTGTACACTCTTCCTGTGGGCATCCTTGTTCTGCTACAGAGGGGTGTGATTCATGGTCAGTCTTTACACTGTGACTAAGTAAATGTTCTCAGCTGAATCATGGAATATCTTATGAGTTGCTGTCCGTGGGGTTAAAGTTCTGTTCTTTTTCTGCTATATGCTTGGTTTTCTTTGCACTTACGTTTAATTTCTTTCTAAATGCTTACCTAGTTGACTGAGGGCATTGTCTAAGCTCCAGATTTAAGGCTCTTTCTGTTTAAGTTTCTTTGCAACATTTCCCATTAAAGTGATACATTGAAAATATTGCTCACTCACTATTGTTTCTGGATCTGTCTCTTTATGTATAATAGATGCTAACATCTGGTATATATGTATTTAGAACCACTCTCTGTGTACTCTAGGCTGGCCTTGAACTCACAATCCAACCCAGCTTCCAGAGTAACTGGGATTATGGGCATGTACCACCATGCCTCTATTACTGTATGAACTTTCTCTCTTCTGGCTAAGTTTGGCTTGAAGTCTGCTGGATAAGAAGACAATTACTACATGTTTGCATAGAATGTCATTTCCTATTCATATCTTCACTGTGTCTGTCTGTCTGTCTGTCTGTCTGTCTGTGTTTCCCAGTAAGGTGAGTTCCTTGAAAAGAGCAATTAGTTGGACCTTGGTTCTTAATTCACACAGTCCACATGTATCCTTTAATTGGGAAGTTGTGACTGTTTACATTTAGAGCTGTTAATGAAGGATATGTACTAATTTGTCCCTTATTTATCTTAAAGCTCTACTGGTTTACTGGTGATAGTACTGGATTCTTTCCTAATTCTTATTTGTTTATCTATTCTTTTACTTAGGCTTATTCTTAATAAAAGCAGAATTTTTAATAACTTGTATTTTTCTTAAATTTTTTGACACAAGTTCTCCTTTTTAAAACTACCTCTCTCTCTCTCTCTCTCTCTCTCTCTCTCTCTCTCTC